GTTGGGGTAGGGGGAGGAGGACCCAGAAACCTAGGTCTTCTCCAAGTCCTGGGCTTGGTCCGTTGGTTGGAGCAGGAGAAGCCTCCTGAGATACTTGGGTGCCTCCTGAGATACCTGGGTGCCTCCCTACGTGGGACCCACAGCCCCCACCCGGGTCCTCCTCCCCACCCCAACCCTCCTCCGGGGCCGTGTATCTCCCCAGCGTCGTCCTTCAACCATGCTGGTCCTCGCTTTCTACATCCTGACCTTCGCCGTGGGCTTCCCGGCCAACATCTTCACCTTCGTCACCCTCTTGGGCAAGGCCTGTCGGCGGGTCTCCGCCTCTGACATCCTGCTCCTCAACCTGACGGCTGCCGACCTTCTCCTCCTCCTCTTCCTCCCGTTCAAGATGGTTGAAGCGGCCGCCGGCAGGACCTGGCCCTTACCGATTGTCCTCTGCCCGGTGGCCAATTTCTGCTTCTACTCCAGCATTTACCTCAGCAGCCTCTTCTTGACGGCCCTCAGCGTTGAGCGCTATCTTGGCGTCGTCTTCCCCCTCCACTACAAGGACCGGAAAAGACCGGGGCGGGCGATGGCCGCCAGCGTGGTCCTGTGGCTCTTAGCCTCTTCCCATTGCTCCATCGTCTTCGTGGCCCAGTATCACGGCAGCAAGAACCAGTCCGTGGGTAACAGGTCCGTGGCCATCAGCTCCGATGGCCCCACAGTCAACGGGTTGAAGCCTGACGGCTCTGGTCCCAACAGCTTGACCGTCGCCAGCCCTCGTGGCTCCAACTCCAACGGCTTCTCCAGCCCCGAATCCTCCGTCGCCGACGGTTTCATCCGCGGCACCTCCAACCTCTCCGACGCTGGTGACTTCACCCCCCACGCCTCCAAGACCGCCACCAGCGCCGTCCCCACCCACCACAGCTCCCGGATCTCTGATCCCAGCAGCCCCAAGACCTCCAGCCCCCAAATCTACACCCGCCACAGCACCAACATCCAAAGCATCTCCAGCCCCACCGCTATCTCCCAGGCCTCCAACCTTCCCACTTCAACTGCTCCCCAAGACACGAGCTACAAATGCTACGACGACTTCTCCGAAGGCCAGCTGAAATTTGTCCTCCCGCTCCGCCTGGAGCTCTTCGTCGTCCTCTTCCTCCTACCCTTCGCCGTCACCATCTTCTGCTACACCAACTTCGTACGGGTCCTCCTCTCCCGGCCAAATATCCCGCTGCAGAAGAAGCAACGGGCCGTGGGCTTGGCGGTGGCCACCATGGTCAACTTTGGGGTCTGCTTCGCGCCCTACAACATCTCGCACGTGGTGGGCTTCGTGGAGAAGAAGAGCCCGCCCTGGAGGTTCTACGCTTTGACCCTCACCAGCCTCAACGCCGCTCTGGACCCCATCATCTTCTACTTCTCCTCCATGGCGGTGCAGAGGGCCATGGCTGGGGTGGTGGTGGCCTTGCAGAACAAGTTCCGGGTTGTGGTGGGCTGGTGTTCTTCTGAAGTCTCCACCACCGAGTCCGACGGCTCCTTTACATGAAGCTTCGAGGGAGGGGGGGTGAACGGTCGCAGCAGGGGGCTGGATTTGATTGGGCGGGGAGGGGGGGACTGAAGGGGCTTTGGCCAATGCCGATGTTTCTAATGTCCTCGGCGGTGTGGCCAACTTGGCCCCATAGCATCAACCAACACCGGGTCAGGGGAACATCTCCCACAGCTGTGGGGCCATAGAGCCGCGGTTTGAGGTGATGACATCAGCCGCCGCGTCATCGGTTTGTGCTCCCCACGGCGCCAAAGCTGTCGTGAGGCCAAGGTCTCCGTGGCTCCGTGGTCCCCGTGGTCTCCTTGATCTCTGTTCTTGGTGCGTCCATCACCTCCGTAGGCCACCAGCTTCTGTGGGGCCAAGGAAGCCATGGGGTGGTGGCCTGTGTGGGTCCGTGGGCTCTGTGGGTCAATACCCTAGGTGGGCTGATGTTCTCCGTGGGGTGCTGACCTGCATGGAGCCAAGGTCTGAGGTGGTTGGTGGCCTCCGTGGGCCAACGTCCCGTGCGGGTTGGTGGCCTCCGTGGCTTGACGTCCTCCAGGAGATGGTGGCCTCCGTGAGTCATCATCCTGCGTAGGCTGATGTTCTCCGTAACTTGACGTCCTCCATGAGACGGTAGCCTCCGTGGGTCAACATCCTGCGTGGGCTGATGACTTCCGTGGGGTGGTGGCTTCCCTCTCCCTTCTGTTCCCTAACGAACCCTGCCCCAAACACGAGATATTTATTCACGACCGTGGTCCAAGCGTGGTCAATGGCGAAGCGGGGGGGAGATCTGGGCACCTGGGTCCAAGAGGAGAAGACCTGGGGGCCCTGGGGGGGGCG